TGGTCTCCAGCCCAGGTGACCTGTGGCTATTTTACCCATACTTTACGCTGGGCACTATTTAGAACTGCTTTTTGTGTTTAGTTTGTTATCCTTCCCCCGAACCTCCGATTAGGACGGTTGGCTATGTGCGGTGCGAAAGAAGTTCAACATAGATTTATTGCCATGACGTTTCTCCCAACCACTCTACTCCCACTCTCCTCTTGGCTCTCACAGTAAAGTACCTGAGCGCACGAATGAGACGGTGCATGTAGGAGGGGTTCGTTTATGAAAAATGGTGATCCTCAAGATCATAGCCGAAGATGAATTATCACTTTAGGGACTACTTTGGCAATGGCAAACAAGCACAGGCAAAAGTACAACTCACAATCGCTGTTATGAACACCACTTCAGTTTAAGTCATAATATTACAAGTACCTATTCTCCCTGTTGAAGAGTCATTGTCTGAAGTGCTAGTCTGCTGTATAGGTATAAATTATAAGGCAGCGCTCATGAATGCACCGTTATATATTTATAACCTAGACTGGATATCAATGTCACATTTACAGTTACTACTGCTTGGTAGTCAGTCGTGCTATCCAGCTTTCCGATGTGTCTCCGGGTCGTAATGTATTGTCCTGCATGACGTCCGAAGTTTTGCTTCACGTGATAAGATTATTCAGTAATTTAATTCAGTTACTGTACTTAGATGCATTTGTTATACTGGTAGGAACCTCCTGGTTACACCAGCCCACAGGGGATTTTTATGTCCGTCCGTCCGTCGTGCATCCAAAAATGGGAGGGGTGGGGCTGGGTGGAGAGGGGAGGGTGGGGAGGGGCTGGGTGGGGAGGGTGGGGCTTGGTAGGGAGGGGCTGGGTGGGGTGGGAGGGGTGGGGCTGGGTGGGGAGGGGCTGGTCACCCCGTGGTGCCCTTAAAAAACTCAACGTTTAACCTACTCACGCCGGCTTGTGCCCGCCCTCACAGTCGGGCATATTTGCGGAATACACCACGCCGCCGTTGACCCTGGCCATTGACCGAGCAACACGACGTTCCTACCAGCTCCCTCCGCAGGAATGTGTCCCCCCGCCCTCTTTCCCCTTCCTTCCCCGGAGGGATCTGACGCACGTGCCACGTAATGCTACGGTCCTACACGTCCACCAGAGGCAGGCCGCCAGGGACAGCAAGGCCTACTCTGCTGGAACTAGAGATTGTCAGAATCAGACAATTATATATTGTATAGTTTAACTAGCTTTACTACCCGGCTTCGCCCGGGACTTGGTGGATTCTTGTCTTGGATTAATACACGGCCTATGTGGAGGGTAGGGGGGGGGGATGTGTGACGTCAGCAGGCACACTGCGTGACGCTGCCGCATGCGGGTGACATCACAGATGTGACGTCACCGCTCACCTGCCGTGCAATATATTATATCCATTATTGCCCCCCCCCCCAAAATACAAAAGTCTACTTTTATACTTTTTGCATTGTGTACAGTCTGGAAACTACACACATGCCAAATTTCAAATTTGTTGCATGTCGGGAAGTATGCTCAACATTTAGAACAGACACAGATATTCACAAATTTCCCTTTTATATATAAGAATATACATTTTCATTAATGCTATATGTAATATACAAAGTTCGTTCCCATCAGTCTATTGACGTCATTTCATTGCCACTCTCTCCCTAAGTTGTGCTGTTTCCAGTGCAAGCTCATATAAATTAGAGCTTTTATCCAATCATATTTTCCACCTGTGCTGTCTCCGGGTGAAAAATCTATCCGGAGGCCTTCAGAATTTCGAGTGAATCCCCTCTGCTATTGAAACAAATGGCGACGATGTTGTTGTCATATTCTTTAACCAATCAAATTTCGAGTTTGCCATGTGGCACGTGTTCTTTGACACGCCGGAGCCTTCTAGCTGGCCTAGCCGCCGACGTCAGCATTTTTCGTGTGGCATGATCGGAGGGCCAGTTAGCTAACTGAAGTAAAACTAGCTAGCACGTAATGTAGCATCACCTAATATGTATTTAAACTTTCTTTTGTGACGTTTAGATTTTTAGATGTAGTGCTTTTAGATTTTTGTGTAGATTTTTACTTAGCCCTGTTGTTTTTTAAACGTACAATTGCTGAAGGAGAAGAAATTGATTTGGTGGAAGTTTTACTGGCAAAGCCTTTTTCGAGAAGGACCTTTCAAAAAAAGCTGGGAATTGTGAGGAAGGGTCGACCAACCCCGCAGCTAGCAGCCCTGTCCCAGCTATTTATTTTTGCTTTCTTTAGATCGTTGCTGCTGGTGTGAATGATGTTCAGATTCAATGGCCTAGCTGTGCCTTTGAATGTGCATGGTGACATGTGCAGGCCCAGCAGCTTAGCTGGAATCCGTGGGGAAGCCTGTTGAATCCTGATTGTGTTATTTGTTTTACGGCATTTTTGCTTGCTTGGTCGTATGAGTAAATGTGACTGGTTGTGAGGTTGTTCTTGTTTCTTTGGTAATGACATTGATTTGGGCAATGCGATGTCTATTTGTGATGCAGCATCCTGTCATACTGCGTAATAGTGGTACATCCTTGATGGTTTCAGTCACCATGTATTCATGTCTCTGCAATTAGTGTATTTTAACTCTCATAGGTGTTGAGCCTCGTGTTAAATCACTTTATTCCACTCAATAAAGGTTACTGTCACCGTGAATATGGGGTGGTTACGTCGAATGACAATAGCCTATAGCCCAAGGGTCATGGTGAGGTTATTCGATGGAGGTTTAATTGCGGGAGGATAGCACTGAAGGCCTTGGTATAAAATACACGGCCCGCCACTGACGTCCACGTTGGTTGTCTGTCCGAGCTGCCTATCCCGCTACGCACCACCCACCTGTCACGGAAATTGAACATTCCCCCGCTGCCGTGTATGGATCAATAGAAATCATTAACAAAGAAATACGTAAAAAAATTTGAGAGGCAATTAAAAACTGAAGAAGCTTTCAGCATGCAATGAAAATATCAGACAATGCCCCAAAACAAGCTGGACAATCTAATACCATATCTGAGAGCAATATTATAACGAGCTTGTTTGCCCGTCCACGGGCGGGTGTGTATTGCAGTAAATCTGAAACATTAAATAGAAAAATTGTTCAGCTCATGATTATTAATTGGGGTTGCCCCATGTGGAGTGACGTCACCCGCTAATGGTTATTGGGGAGGGGTGCGGCATGTGGAGTTACGGCACCCCCTCATGGTTATTGGGGAGGGGTGCGGCATGTGGAGTGATGTCACCCACTCATGATTATTGAGGGGGGGGGCTCATATGGAGTGACGTCATACACGGGACACACATTCTTGGCTCATTATATTAGTAACTAGCTTGTTAGTCCGTTCTAGGACGGAAGCTGTAATATTAAAGATGTTAATGAACGTTTTATTGTGATTGTTAATTTTATTAGGAAATGTAGCACAAAAATAAAATGTCCTTTACTTATTAAATGAAATTAAGGACTTTGGAAGATGTATTGGTACAGTATACGATATTTTGTGTGAATCTCTTATCACTGTTCAAAAGGTTTCCCTGCCGTTGGCTATCTTTGATGAAGACTTTGATCCGCTGAGGATATTTAGATCTAGACAGAGGCACGTACAACTGGCCATGGGAAAATACGGGTTAATTGAGATAAATACCCAAATTCTAGATTTGAAATTTTCGTGACTGCAAGGATCCATACTCTTTAGTTCTTTCGGTAAAGTCACGTAGGTGAAAAAGGTTTTAAAAAATAATAAAAATAACTAAATTAAATCACTTTTAATTTAGTTATTTTTATTTCATTTGTGTTTTTTTATTTTATTTTTTATTATAATTTTTATTTTCACCTACGTGACTTTATCGAAAGAACCAAAGAGTATAAATACCCAAATTTTAAAAAGTGTGACCCTGCGACTAGTTGACCGTCATCGCATACGCAGGAATGATCGGAATTTGTCGTCGTTTCAGTACGAAAGAGTGACATCACTTGGAGCAAGGTCGATTCTCGGGATGAAGACGATTTCGGTTGCAAAGGCTGTATAATAAATAAGAATAACCATTAAAAACAAAGTTTTTCACTATAAATCCTTTATATGCGTGGCGGCTTGAGTCCTCTCGTCCTCTGGCTTGAGATGGCTGCCACCTATGGGTCAGATGATTGCATTGCACCATTAAGCAATTGGTAATTAAATATATATTTGTCCTAAAAAGTGTAGAATTTAGGAAAAAAAATTTCACGAACATTAATTGTCACGCACAACGAGTCTGTGTGGAAAATGTCAGCTCGATTGGATCACGGGAAGTGGGTTAAAAAACGACCGAAAGGTTTGCACGGTCGTAAGCAAGCAAGCACGCAAGCACGCAAGCAAGCGAACTTAATATAAAGGATTAAAAAAAAACCCGTAACTTCACTTTAGCACTGTGTTTAAATCACATGAAGCTGTTAACTGACAAATTAATCTTCACCGATGGACGCTTGATAGCGAAGAGTGAAGAAAGTAGAGTGCTGATCCTGTCTGAAGTAACTTAGCAAACAACGAAGAGCAAAGAGAAGCATTAGAGTTACGAATAAATTGATCAGAGTATAATTTTATCTTGTTTAAATGTAATGGCAGGGAATTTTGAAAAAAAGAATATCAAACACTTCACTGCATTTCACTGTAGCACTGTATTAATGGCACTGAATGTTGCACAAAAGGAAGTCATAAAACACCTCGCAGCATTTGACCGCAGCACTGCATTAATGGCAGTGGTTGTTGCACGCAACAGTCATAAAACACCTGACATTGTCACAGTAGCACTGTATTTAACGGACGTTCAATTACTTCCCATTCACTGCTCTGATACTTACTATCTTCCGCTTTCGCTCGCTGGGGTTGAAAACAATTGGAATTCGATACAATGTCTGCAAAGTAGCAGAGAAATGTTTATTGTAGCATAATTTGGAAGCTTAAAGTCGACTTAACCTTTGGTAGGACGTGCTGAAGAAATAAATAAAGGCACCAAATGCACTGATGCGGCGTTGAATTATTTATTGCCTTCACTTTCTATAAAGATGCGTAAAATCAAAAGCGAATTTGCGTAAAAAAAATTATCATAGCCGCTCGACCTTCTGCGTTAGTCAAAGAATCCAGGCACACGTGAATACTAATGAGGGGGGGGGTGCATCTGGAGTGACGTCACGTGTGGGACACACAGCCTCGATTGGCTCGTTATATTAGTTGCTACGTTGATTTCTTTATTCGCTTTACTTTCCATAAAGAAAGGCCAAAATTAAAGCTAATTTGCGTAAAGAAATTTTCGTTTCCGCTCCACCTTCATGCGGAGTGACGTCACTTGTCCATGATTATTAATGAGGGGGGCTGGTCGACGTGGAGTGACATAACGCGCGTTACGCACAGGCATTCTTGGCTCATATTAGTAATTGGTAATACTGCATTATCGATATGCATTGTATATACCATATTCATTGTTATTTATTTTGAACAGCTACTTATCCCAAAAGGACTCATTCAATAAAGCTTGAGGGTGTGCTTAGGTGCACACATGGCAACAACTGTAATTAAGGCACAGCAGCTTCAGACGTTTAACCATTCACAGCACCTTCTAGAATGAAACCCAGCCCTTTATGATATCAACTCCATAGGTAGAATGTGTGACATTTCGTCCGTATCTAAGCTTATTTGCATTTCATTGAAGATAAAAAGTATCCAAATGTTTTAAAACAACATTTAAAACGAACAAATCAACAGTCAATTATTTTTCACTGAAATAAGATGAACGAAAGTACGGTTGAATATCTTTCCCCAAAACACTGACATCGCAGGATCGTAAGAGATGGCAGCAGCTTTGGAAGGCCTTCATCCAGCAGTAGATGGACCATGGCTTATAATGATCATGACGAGGGTAAACAGATGCTACTTAAGCCCAGGCACTTCCATGGTCCACACCAGGGGAGCATCGGTTTCAACAGTGACCACTCCACTTTCATCCATCTTGTTTGACGTGCTCACAAGCGTACCAAATTTCAGCTGAGCGTCGCCTGGAATAAAACACAGCTCATTAAGAATCATTAAATGTACTTATTCAGCTGGGACATTATGTAATGTGCAAACTGGGAACATACAAATGGAGCAAATGTCAACATTTTCATAACCATGGGAACCCTTTTCACCAGTGTCAAGATAAAAATGTCAAGATAAAATGGTTTCCGCTTTTTATCTGAACATCTTAACACGTTATATTTATGCCAGATAAAATGAAGGCCATATTTTAGTATTCACTATGTCAACATTTCCGTTAATGGGTGGGTTGTAACAACTTACATGGACGTGTTTATTCAATGTTTAACAAAAAACGGATGGATAAATCCTGAAAAGTGTTTTGTGACATGTTCTACTTATGAAAAGTAGAGTAATTATCGGAATACAGTTATTTCTACGTGTTAAAAGTCAACAATTGGTATTGAGATCATGAATGAAAGCATCAAATTAACTGAAAAAATAACCATTTAATTCCAGCTGAAAAGGTCGAATACTACCCTCGGATGCTGCTGACCTCATTCTTTCGAAGATTAATTTGATATTAAATTTTACGCTAAATGCCTTGGAGACTCAGCTGGAGGTCAAGGCCAGTCCCAACCTCGATTGGCGAGTGGTGTGACCTACTCAGGTTCCACTTGAGGCCGGAGGTGGTGACGTGGTGGCATGGTTCTCCCACCGGAATGAGGCCACACCATGACCCCTGTAGATCCTTGTCCACACGGATTGTACTTTTGCCCTTCAACAGGGAAATGCGCATGAGAGGGGAAAAAATACTTTTGCACAACATGGAATTGCTGTGATTTTATTAGAAGGCACGAATAAAAACAATATTTTAATGTTTCTCTAGAACAAGACTTGGAATAGGTGACAAAGCCTTTGCTGTTGCACCAACATTTTGGAACAACCTTGTTTCCCACCCCTTAGCATCGTAAATATTCCTTCAAACACATCCTGAAGCAGAACATTTGGACTGCATACAACCACATTTTGCAAATGTGATTTGTAACATTGATCCTTACCTGTGTATCGATAGTTCTATTTTAATGTGCAATTTTATTGAGGGACTCTGTGTTGTCTTGGTGTGTCTGGGACTGTTTTTGTCACTGTTTTGCTGCCTTGCCCTAGCTTCCATTTCGTGTTGAAAAATCGGCAGGACATTATGCACTTGTGCGATTTGTACTTTATATATATTATTTATTAAACTGTTCATGACTTTTTTTCGATTTAAAGCTTTCATGACTGCAGGGATTCATCTTCTTGGTTCTTTCGGTAAAGTCACGTAGAAGGGAAAAAAAATAAAAAAAATATAACATCATAAAATACAATTCTCACGACGTTTCGGCCACAATGCAAGCAGCCGTCCTCAGGTGAAGAACAGGGCTGTCGGAAAGACATCATCTTCACATGAGGACGGCTGCTTGCGTTGTGGCTGAAACGTCGTGAGAATTGTATTTTATGATGTTTTATTTTTATTTCATTATTTCCCTTCTACGTGACTTTACCGAAAGAACCAAGAAGATGTTCATGACTTGCTTAGCTTTTCTCATATTCTTAATCATCATTAGCCCATGCGCTATTATTTGGCAAGGAGATACAGTTTACCAAAGTTATTCACAGCAACGTTAGAAGATTTTTTGTGAAAATACAATTGGATAAATAAATGCATACACATTTATAAATTATGCATCTTAGTGATGAGTCATTAAATCATTTAATATCTTGCACTTACATATAATAACGATTTATTTATAGTTTCTAATAGACCTTACCAACACTACCAGTTCGTTTTCAAAGCTGATATGTTTTACAATTGATTTTTGGATTAGGCCACGTCATTACATTTTACTGTATATTCAAATGTTTACCTGGAACTCCCTTCCCCCAGGCATCTGTGCCTCTGTTTATGCCCAGGATTAAGACCTCCATTTTTACCTCTGCTACTGACTCCATATAGAAACTATATGTGCAGTTTTTTTCTGGACAGCATCTTGAGATGTGGTGTAGATGTTATATAAATACTCTTTGGTTCTTTCGGTAAAGTCACGGTCGCTTGTGTTGCGATCGAAACGTCGTGATTTTGTTTTATTTGATTTCTACCCACGTGACTTTACCGAAAGAACCAAAGAGTATGGATTCCTGCAGTCACGAAAGCTTCAAATCAAGATGTTATATAAAGCTATATCATATCGTACGGAATATTGTATTAATCTCCAAAATTGTTCACGATTGCAACTTATTACAATTGTGCACCTACCTCCCGTTAAAGTTGCCACCTGTCCTGGTTTTCCCAAATTTGTCCTCTTTTTGAGGTAGCTGTCCTGGGAAATCTGTTTGTCTTCTGGGACAATACAAGTCCTGGTTTTGCCATTTATGTAGCAACATACCATTCAAGACAATGCACTTACATTTGGTTTTCTCCTATTCTGGCATTGTGAGACAATCTTCTTCCCATGCTGTGTGCTGATTTTTTTTTGTATCTCATAAGTGGCAACCCTACCTCCCGGAGCAGGCAGATGAGCGAGGAGCCGTGTATGACATAGACGGGCAGGTTGGTGAGGGGCCGTGCATGGTACAAGGTATCCACGCTCGCCAAGATCTGGTCAAAACGACCGCTCAGTCCACCCAGAGTCACCACCATGTCGATCTGCACAGCACAAACGGCAATCATATCACAATGTTGTATTTTATTATGATCACGGGTAATCTATTATTATTTGGAATAGAATTGTACAATATTTAGATCTCTCCAATGACTCCGCATTTAATATGTATATTTTAAATGTCTTCTATAGATTAATCCATACCAAACTCTTCCTTTTCATCTTATTCTGCTTCACTTCATGTACTCTATACTCCAACAGCCATGGCGTTCAATTGAAGCCCCCAGTGAACCTTTGCTCAGTGGGGGGTTGCGATTTCTCTTTTTCCTGGCCACCTGTGCCGTTGACTCTCTTTTGTTCATCGAGGCTCAACACTTTTCTGTTCTACCGATGACTCGTTCTCTTAATAAATAGGAAATACGAATTCCTCCAGGCTAAATTACGATTCTGAATGTGAAGTATATGTATAGTTCAGTAAGGCTGTCTACCAATATTAAATATAAAATATCAGCTAAGCTACGCTTGGAAATAAGATTCAGCATGTGCAATGGTCAGTAATGATCTGGCAGAGAAAATGTGAGCATGAGCAATGTGTGGACTGGGCAGTGTCACCTTTGCATTGAGGTCACGGGCTCGCTGCAGGAGAAGCTGCAGAGCCTTGGTAAAGTCCGTGTGGTCTTGGTCAGGAGTCTTAATGAAGTCACTGCCCTGTAGAGCCCAACACGGCCATAAATACCTCCATGCGCTTTGAAAATCCAAAAACGATGTATTGTCCCAGAGCATGGGATTTCCCAAAAAATCTTGTCATTTCCCACAAATGTATCTCAATTGTGCTATCAGTGTAATGCCATGAGATGAAGTATCCATTTATGTTCGAGAACAGCCCATGGAATCAGATGTCGCAGAGCTACATCTGAGGTCGCTTCATGTGCAAACAGTAGGGGGCAGCACTTTCCCACGCACAATTATTCCTCCAAAGAATATTCATGTTCCTGACATCACACAGTCCAGTCAAACTGACATTTTAGTTTCTTAAACCTGGAAATGAGCCAATTGACTAACACAGAACCAAAATTAATTATGGGTTTTTTTTGTGCAGCCATTTGTAACTGGCCTGAGACCATTAACTCACTACACTTGAGAACCAGGTTTCATCACAGGCGAGTGCCTGGATTTGAATTCAGAATTTCAACAGTGCCAGCTTGGCGCGCTCTGAGCTCTGACCCACCTGCCACCTCCTGCCCCATAGTATCACCTTATTTGATGCCCTCCCTTACCTTTTCTTTGTAGTACTCCTCGACGGCTTTCTCGATTGAGTCAAAATCTCCGCTGATGAAATCTGGGATAAACCTTAATTCACAAAATAATTTCAACGTCAGACTCACTGCTACTTAGACGTGCAGTTTAAGATTGACTGGATATCAATGTGGCCTAAACGTGTCTGAAACAGCAGTGCATATGCACTATATACATATTTAAGCACATTTTAATTCATTGCACAGGGATATCTTAACCTGATTCATATGTATTAAAATCAATTAGGTTTCACCTTTAATTTTCAGTTCAGCTTTTAGCCATATATTCTGATGAGAGTTTTGAAAAAGTTATTTGTAATATCGAAGAAATTCCTCCACTGCACTCACATACTATTTCAGATATGTTTTCATTCGATTTTCATTCATTTTAAAATAAATTGAAAAAATGTACTGCACAACCACAATGGACATAAAAATGATACGTGTAGTGCAGCAGTTAGTACAGTGATTCGAAAACCCGATTCCTGTCCGCGGCTGGCATCAGTTGTAATACTTGAACTGGTGCGGAGCACTATTCTCCGCTAACCCGCACTGATCAGCGTGGTTAAGTATGGTCAAACAACCCCCGAGACAGACATGGCATGGTGAGCCCTTCACCTAGCACTAAATTGACAAAGGGCTGTAAATTATGTTTTCTGTATGAATGATAATCCTATGATCAAATCACCCAGAATGGCCCCGATATCTACAGACCTTTTTAAGCTCAGCTAAGCTGGGTTAAGCTGGGATAATACCGAGACGGTGAGCGCCGTGCACAAAAGATGGTTCAAGTATGCTTTGTGGGCAGCAAATACCACTGCACTACAAAAACATCCATTGCTGTTTTGCACTTCCCCCGTCGTCATCAACTTGCATGGACCAGCAGCGTAGAGGCATCGTCAAACAACCCTCGCGGGCTGTACGCCGTGAAGAGGAGCCCTCATCCAGCAATGCACCGACAAACAGGTTTGTACATGGACATTAATTGCAGCCAATAGGTGCCTCACATGGGAGCACAGGGGTAGCACGTGGGCGTGGCATATTTGAAGACGTGTCCTGCTTGTACGTCAGAGTCGTTGGTTCACCGTGGGGCTTTACCTGTCACGGGAGTTACCCATGCACCTGTACAGTGCGTTCGCACCTCCATCCGCGCACGCTCGAATCACAGCTGATGGACCAGCAGAAAAAACACATGGTGGGTAGGACAAAGCCGACAAATAATCATCATATTCAGCAGCAACCGAGAAAAAATCACTTCTGGATTAAGGCCACCACCATCTCTCGTGGTCATGCGATACAAGAATCCATCTCGCACCAGCACATGGGCTGATTTCATTGCTCCATCTCCGTGGTTCAAATGCTCGCGAGTATATGTTTATGTCTACACTGGATAAAAAAAGTTATTCTACAGTATCTGAAGATACGCAAGTATATAATGAGTGTTAAAAAAATAGGCATGGGAAGGACACATCAGAGGAAGTGATGGCCTGTGGTGGAGGCTATAGGGTCTAATTATAAAGGGTATAATTATAACAGATGGACATTTCAGTTCATAAGAGTCATTGGCCATATGCTAAAATCTGCCGTGGCCTGTGTCTGGGCGAGAAGTCCCAGAAAGCTCAGCTCGCTCACATTTGCTCCAAAGCAGCTGCAGCCTTTCTGGTCCATCGAGCGGCTGGTTTAGAATCAAGAGCCCCAGCTTCTCACTGCCTGAAACAGAACACACATGCAGCAGAAATGGATTAACGATCACACAGGCTCGGTTTTCAAAACGACACGGCAATGAGCGCAATCATGTCTTCTTCCAGTACTTAGCCTCTGGAAACTGACCACGAATTGTCCATGAGCCTAAATGAGATGTTTCACTTGTTGGTACCACTCGAGGTGGCAGAACCTCAGTGCATATTTTCTCCGGGTCCTCTGGGTTTTCTCCCTACACATATATAAACACGCGTTTAGATTATTTAGATGATTTGGCCGCTATACATTTCCACATAAGCAAATTCGTTGAGCTATAATTTGTGGCCAGGTTGCTTCTAAAAAAAGAAGCTAACAGCTCAGTAGGATTTACTCAGAAAAATAAAAATAGTTTAGTTTAATTTGTATTTTGAGTGATTTGCTTACTTTGAATTGTTTGTTGTTGAAACTTTCTGACCCACCCCTACTGGACATCTGTGAAAAAGAGCTTTATAGCTCATCAGATTCCTCCAGTATAAATAAAGATTCTGATTTGGTTCCAACTTATTTATGTGGTCAATAACAGTGAATTGTGTGACAACCATTTAAAATGAGTGGCCTATAAAATAACTCGCTCTCATTAGCCGTATAAATAAATCATTACAACCAAAGTCTTGCTACCTTAGGTGGTACTATTTTTGCTACAGCCCACGGACTAACCGAAACATGTTGTGCTCACAACCAGCAAAGTGATGATTGGCTGGTTTGTTGGTAAGTGGTGACCTAAGGGAAGGAAATTGTCTCAAGCCAGCCAGGAATGATATATTCGTGTTAAATTGTTTAATAGAAATATCCAACAGGTTCTGTGAACCAAAGTAATTTTAATGGGTTCAACTGCACCACTGTGAAGACATTTACGACACACATTGCTCTGAGGACGTAACAATTCTTCTTCTATAAGCTAATTGCTGACAGCAGGTCACCTTCTAATGGGAGAAATGCTGACCTGTTCGCCTTTGCACAAACTGTAAAAACACGGTCAAAACCGGATAACCATTTGGATTTATGATATAGGATGTAAATGCATCCGAATCTTAAGACGTTGTATGGGAACAGTGGGTGTATTTATTATATAGAGGCAGTGAGTCATAGGCAGAGGTAAAATTAAGGTCTTAATCCTGGAATTGAGCGTTGGAGAAGTCTCTCTGGTTCATGCAATGTTTTAATTTCTCCAAAAAAAATCCAGTCACTTCATTTAGGATTATTTACTTCAGCCGTACAAGTGAAACTCAAGTGGATTTTGGAGTGTTTCAGTAAACATATTATTAACCGTTGCAAAAATTACGTTAAAAACAAACCAAACTTTACTGCCAAAACAGAAACAATGCATACACTTTGTGTGCAAATGCGTGCATTCCCTGCACTGTTGGGGAATTTTTTCAGTTTAAAATGTTTAGGTCAATAGGTAGCAGCAATGTACCGCATTAATAAATGTACATTTAACTGGTGGATATAGATATATTTTGTTCTGAGAAATAAGATTGTATAGGCTCAAGAAATAAATGAGCCCTAAGCACTGAATAAAAATAAGTCAGCAGACATGGCATCACTCACGATCAATGTCACGCATGCTTTACAGGCATGAAGGAGGCGGCTACAAATACGGTCTCCGGCGCAACTCAAATAAGCCTCTGACGACACGTGGTGCAAACAGATACACTATCTCAAAGAGCAACATGATCGTACATCATAAGCTGTGCTTCCTTTTCGTCGCATACATATTAATGGAAGAAAATATGAGTGCGGGGCGCGTGCGTGCACTGGAGTGCTGATATGGACTCTATGCCAAGGTAACATCAATGTTGCATAAAGATGATGCATCGTTGCTCTTGCGAGACTGGAGGAGGGGACATCCGTCTTACAAAGGACAACATATCCGAGTATTGCGCCATTGATTTATTTAGTTCTTTGCTGTGCAAATATACAATTTCAATTCTGCAGAAGCATATATATATGTGAGAGATGCATCGTACAACTGAGAAGTTCGAGTTTGTGCCCTTAGCGCCATGTGCAACGATTGTATGAGTTTTGGGACTATATCACGTTTTGCCGTTAGGATTATCTTACACCTGCTAATTAAAGTATGCTTCTTAATGAGACCGTATTAAGTATAAAACGTAATGAGTATTTTACACATGCTGTGTATGCGACGGCACATGCTGTATATGTGTAGGTATGTGGGATATTCAGACTACACGTGAACATAACTCGACCCACTAAAACAAAGCAATTATATGCTACTACTTTTATCCTTATTTCCAACACAATTTCGAATTAATTTTATTTTCCAGAGGTAATTGTTTAGCAATCACATTAGGGTGCACTGGTGCACATTGTACACTCATTACACCTTTCAAAAAGGCAAAGAGGGGTCTCTGGAGTGGGCATGCAGGAAATCAGGTGCAAGGGTTTGCTTGGAAAAACTGAACAAGAAAAAAACCCATACATGCTCAGCCCTTTATCAATTCATTGCTACATGAAGGCCTCCCCATATGCCGTGTAGTTCATGGGGGTTATTTGACCATACTGCACCAAGCAGGCGAGTGAGGGTTGGTGATAAGGGGCGGGCGGGGCACAGCATCCGGTTCAGATTTCGCTCACCGCTGATGTTGACCATGATCGAGGTCAATACCGCCACTGGTGCTAACCACTGTGTTACCGATCTTAACCGAAACATCGCGGCTATCGCGATTTTCACCTGAAGACGGGCGCTTGTGTTGCGTCCTAAACGTCGTGATTTATTGTATTATTTCTACCTACGTGACTTTACCGAAAGAACCAAAGAGTATAAAATACTAGCTTTGTATTGCAGTGTGCTGAATTTGTATTAATAATCCACATGGTCATAAACACTCACACGGTATTGGCTGCATGTGTTTCAATTACCGCACAAAAACAAAGATTCCGGTATAGCCTTAACAGATTTTGTGGCAAGTGCTGTTAGCAAGCACCTTTGAAGGCCAGCCTGGCATACGAAAGTGTGGGTGGCTAGAACCGGTATTGATGTTTACACACCGCACCAGGTACTTATTTAAGGCTGAGTCGACCTAGAGGAGGCCCCAGACCAGTTCAGATATTCATCACCGATGTTGGCAGTGAGGAGAAATCGAACTTGGGTTGCCAGGATTGAAGTACAGTGCGCTAGTCACATTGCCACCGCTCCTCACACACAAATGGAAGTTCATTTGTTGCGAACCTGTATGCAGGAGACAGTCCAGTGGCCGGTAGTCCCGCTCCATGACTCCCAGCGCACAGCTTTTGTCTTCTCACTGCCAGCACCTGAACACAGTTGTTTGGGCTCGGTTACACGGGACACCAATATACGGTTCAGACAGGAGTTAGGCGATGTTGCAAACAATCGTACTGAAACAAGCAGGTTTTTGTAGTCAATATTGTCATTGATAATTATTCGGTTTGGCCAAACTTGTGAGCCTGAAACAACTGGTGAGCTGAAACAACAATAGTTGGTGCGTTAAAATGCTTGTTCGTGAGACAATTGAATTTGTTTGGCTGTTGGGTTGGAGGATTCACGACACATATTTGATCAGGTCATTCCATGGTTTAATGCAAACATTTAATATTGCATTATACCGAAATTTCCACAACCACCTGACTTGACGCATCCATAGCCACGAGCAAAGCACATTCGTCTTGAGTCAATCTACTACTCGTCCTCGCTATCTTTCCAGAACTCGTGATCTCGGTCTGACGCTGTCACTGTGATTTACGTTGTCATTATCGTCATCATCGATGTAATTGCCATCACTGCAAAGTAATGTTGGTTCATAAAATAAAAATTTGAAATAAAACCCCTTAATTCAAATCACCGGGCATTACACATTAGTATTGAGCGACCTGAATTTGATATTGCAAGTTGCGTGTGACTTTATGATACAGTAAATCCTCATAAAAGCGGCAAGCCATAGTAATCAATGGTGGCACGACCTCTTCGGCGAGCTCCTTTCCAATCAAAGTAGTAAGCTGTCCTAATGCAAGAACGCATGCCATTCTCCCATATTCTGCATATGCAAATGACCACACCGACGTTTGCAGAGGCATTGCCCTGTTTTATATGCCTGATCTAGCTGAAGATAGACACACAAAGCGTGTTGCTGTATTGTTTTTTTTGATGCATAGGTCTCCGATATGTTTTTGGGTTGTACCGCGAGTTGCTTAGCATGGTGTCTGACGTTTATTCTCCACATGCTGGGAGCTTTTTTTATGGAACAGTTGGTGCTCCCAGCACGTGGAGCAACATCGCGGGGTCATCAGTTCCCACAGTGAACCCGAGAAAGCCGAAAACCTACACAGCATTAAAAGAAACACACGTGGGCTGTTTTTGCCAACATTAAACTCAAGTGCGATGAGATGCTTCAGTGGGCACACTAGGACCCCGACAAATGCGTGAAGTCGGCCTGCCATATAAAAAAAAAGAGTCGGTATTATTTTTTTCTTCAACGTTTATCCGGAAATGCTGTTTCCATTAAAGCGTTTGCTGACATCAGCGTGTGCTGTTCTAAGTTTTCTACCAAAAGTTTATTTTGAAACCACGTTTGTCTGTACAAACGAAATTTTTGCCCATAAAATGCACAAGGTGTTGTCAATAGAGGAAAGGCGTCACTCACGTAACACGCCGCTCCCCCCCATCGCGTGAATTCGCAGTTACACGATTCATCTTTAAGACACATACTTCACACTTACGCTATGCGTTTCGCAGTTATGCGCTCAAGAAAAAAATTAAGATAAGATTTCTAAATTTGTTTATTAGAAATTGAAAGTAAAATCAATATAAATTTCTGATGGCTTCACCACATTATGGTGGTGCCCAGTGTCACGTGTATCATGCTGCTGCAAGCTGCCCACGGAAGCCTCAAGAAGCCCCCGAAATTACTCCCGATTAAATTATCTTTGTAAAAAGTAATCTTTTAACCTTAGTCATTTGTTCCTAAACTCCTCGTTAAGTAATGTTTTGGAATAATAATGTAATATCAATAATATGATTAAGTATTAAGATTATTCACATTTTGTATATCCAGGGCTAAAATGATGGAATTAAATTTAACATTTCTGAGGTGACGTCTGTGGGAAAATCGGCTTCTGACAGCGCGATTTGACTTGCGCGTTACACGAGGAACGCATTTACGTGCCAACAAACGGTAGTCACATTAATTTCAGTAAAAACATGATTTAGTTTAAAGAGCTAACACAAGCTATCTATGCTCACCAATAGAAAACATACAATACTTGGTCAAACTACTGCTAGATGAAAACCAAGGAACGCTTGCTCTGGTTCCACTTTGGCACAAGCGCAGCTAAATGGATGTAGACTTTGTTGAAAGTGAATATGTTTAATGTCCCTTCCATGAGTGTACACTATGTTGTGTTGGTTCAATAAGTTATTGTAAAAAAATACGATATTACTTTTACAGTATGTCATAGAGTTAATTTTTATATTTGTTTTACTTAAAAGCATATTCATATTTAGAATGTAAATAATTATAACGTATATTTCTAGTTTCGAAACAAATTGTTTTATTCCACTTTGATTTTACAATCGTTTTATACTGCAATGTGCACTGCATATTTACCAATCTGTATTTGCTTGGGCACATTTAGAATGTGAAAGTTTGGTATTAATTCTGTTGCTTGCAAGGTTTTCTCCACAAGATTACTTCCCTGTTCATTTTTTCCACGTCTCTTTTGCAAACAAGATTTGTCGTGTTTTAAACCACAGCTTTGAAATACATGAACGTGACTCGATTTGGACAACATGAAAGGCTTCCCATGCCACTTCAATCCTGGAGGTCATCGAATTACACTTAAATGTAGGTTGGTGAAAGAGAGGGCCAGGACTGCTTCAGACATCACTACTGATGTCAGTCTCAGCAGGGAATAAAACCTCAGTAGGTGTGTTTAAAGTTGACATCCCATTGTGTGAACTCCATAATATAGGTATTTTTGGTTAGATCGCATAAATGTCATTAAAACGGGCCACCACCCGACACAGCCAATTAGTAAGGTTTGTCACGAAAACAGAACATGCCAATTCATTACTAGTACATCACACCGGTGTGTTGGAGAGGAAATCCACAACATTTACAATCTGAGTATGTTTCGCCAATAATTAAAACTAGCTTCATCAGGCGACAGCCTGATTTGTGGAAAAAGCCTCCTGTTTTATTCATTAAATAGAGGGATAGACGCGATCAAATCCAACAAACCTATATTTTGGATATTGGTCGCGAAAGCCTACGTGGTAAAGTGTGTGAACAACTGCGCCACTTTTCAATGCTTGTTATTGGGCAGTGTCAATGAAGAATGACTGCTTTTTGAATGACTGATAAGACCATTCCCTTAATTTTATTGTGATAGTCTCAAGTCTTAATGGCCTCTCACCTGGTTTCTCAGGTGAGTTACTCATGGGGACTGCGAACCCACATTTCACCAGTAAGCGGAGCTGTTCTACTGCTCATGCCAGCACGCCTGCCAGCCTTATGTCAACACTGCAAGGCACATTAATGAACCAGCAGCCATGGAACGAGAGAGAGAACAACCACACAAAAACACAATTTATTGACTGATGTCTTTTTCCGTTAGCGTACAGTTAATGAAGCAGCTATCTCTAAGCAGCAGACTTGGCGTATTGCTTGTGCAAAGGCTTCCATAACAACGACAGAATGTATTTTATTTATTATTACCATGTTTTTTTTCCATGCCCCTTTTTTGTTACTCTGCGATGTCTTGCCATGTTATTTATTTATATTAACATTCAGCTTTTTTTTCGCGCATGGGAGGAGGTAAATTATTAGAGCCTGCTGCAAGATGATAAACTTCTGGTCCTCGGCTCAACGCGGACACTTGCTCCATGTGATTGGGTCCCCGATTCGTCTCTCTGTGCGCCAGGTGTCTCATTCTGCCAGGTGATTATGCATCTCGGGAGACCTGCATTGGGGCGCATCAGTCAGCATTTGTGCACGTAAGCTGGCAGACATTTCGACACCACCCGCCACCCCCTTTTTGTTTTATAGGTTGGCAGAAGAAACGGTAAAATTGTAAAAAAAACAAACCCCAGGATATATCTGGGAATTGTGTTTTGTCGGATATAGAGGAGCAGTATCACTGCAATGGTTCGTGCACTGCGTTATGAGTTTCGGCTACCTGAGTTTGATTCCTGGGCATGGGTAATAATATCTGTAGGCGAGTGATATTTGACCGAGGTCCTCCTACCCAATCCCCCCATCCCTTTCACTAACTAGTACTGACCAGCATGGTGAAGTATGGTCAATCAACGCCAATGACCTACATATACCCTGACGAAGGGATGCAAGATCATTTGTTTAAGATTTAGAAAAAATAATAATTGAATATCCCGACTTGAATACTCGTCTTCTCCAAATGTGTTTAAGACAAATGTCACGTCAAATAATTATCATAAAAATGGAAAAATAAACAGTGTGATAGATGCTACACATTACCAGTCTTCGTTGCATTGCTACAGTAAAAAGAAACACTGTCAGTGCAACACTATTCTACAACTTCTGTAATACACATCATTCATGGCTGCTTAACGTTATACATTGGAATTGTTCTACCTAACAGAATTATCCCAACACGCATGGTTTGTAAAGTATTCTTGTTTTAATGATGGCTCATTTGTGGAATAACTCAACGGTTTGACGGATATATGACAGGTGAATGCAACTGTTGTTACCATGTCCCCGTACGGATGTAAAAAGTCAGATAGATCATGAGTAATGAATGAGCATTTCTCCCTTATCAGCAAAGGTCGGCAAATTATCCCTCTCTGAAATTACAGCCCTAACTGGTTGACATCCTGGGTCACAAGTAAACAAGCCACGCCATGATTACACTAATGAATACCCACACCTCTTTCACCGTGCATATGTATAACATTTTCGCATGGAACCGTGGGACCCTTTTGAATAATGCGTTATAAATCTCACTACCGCACACGTACATGCAACTTCTTCACAGACCACACACAGAGACAAGAAATTGTTCACAACCAAAACAGTTGTTTTGCCGGTCAGCAGTCTAAGTTTGAGACTGCAATGCAACGAAAAAAAACAGCTATACGTCAAACCCCCTACTCATTTCAGAACTGAATTAAAATCAATCTTTGAAAAAAAAAAGTTTTTACTTCCAATTCCTGCTGTGGCTTACACATCACGTTATCAGAGGCAGCAGCAGCAGCAGCAACGCTGTCATCAGTCCACCGGGACGCTACTGCCTACGACACCTACACTGGATATAAGCATGCGCGAAGCACAGGGCAAACACACAGCCGTGGAAGGCAAACTGTGCGTCTGGGAGAGAAAGCCACCAACCCACCAACTCACCACCACCACCACTACAACGCACCACGCTTCTCAGCGGAAGAACTGCGCCTATAGCCTCAATGGAGTCGCAGTGTGGCAGCAGACCGAGCGCTTGCCCAACCCAGTCTGTCCGCGGCTCAGCCGAAGGGCTCGTTCAGCTTCCCACAATACATTCGCACACAGCAAATCATCAGCATTACCAGCAGCGCCGCCACCAGGAAGAGACATCACTTCCTGCAAGGCTGTGGCGCCCCCTTCAGTCCTGGCCATGCTCACTTGAGCAGAGTCTTGCATTCCGATTCATACCGGGAGGAACCTCCTGGTTACACCAGCCCACTGGGGATTATTGTGTCCGTCCGGCCGTCGTGAAGGGAGGGGCTGGGTGGGGAGGGAGGGGCTGGGTGGGGAGGGGAGTGTGGGGCTAGATGGGGAGGGGAGGGTGGGGAGGGGCTGGCTGGGGAGGGTGGAGAGGGTAAGGAGGGGCTGGGTGGGTAGGGTGGGGCTGGGTGGGGGATGGGAGGGGTGGGGCTGGGTGGGTAGGGTGGGGCTGGGTGGGGGATGGGAGGGGTGGGGCTGGGTGGGTAGGGTGGGGCTGGGTGGGTAGGGTGGGGCTGGGTGGGGGATGGGAGGGGTGGGGCTGGGTGGGTAGGGTGGGGCTGGGTGGGTAGGGTGGGGCTGGGTGGGGGATGGGTGGGGCTGCGTGGGGAGGGGCTGGGTGGGGAGGGAGGGGTTGGGTGGGGAGGGGAGGGTGGGGAGGGGCTGGGTGGGGAGGGGAGGGTGGGGAGGGGCTGGGTGGGGAGGGTGGGGAGGGGAGAGTGGGAGGGGCTGGGTGGGGAGGGTGGGAGGGGCTGGGTGGGGAGGGAGGGGCTGGGTGGGGAGGGGAGGGTGGGAGGGGCTGGGTGGGGAGGGTGGGGCTGGGTGGGGGGTGGGAGGGGTGGGGCTGGGTGGGGGGTGGGAGGGGTGGGGCTGGGTGGGGAGGGGCTGGTCACCCCGTGGTGCCCTTATAAAACTCAACGTTTAACCTACTCACGCCGGCTTGTGCCCACCCTCACAGTCGGGCATATTTGCGGAATACACCATGCCACCGTTGACCCTGGCCATTGACCAAGCAACCCAACGTTTCTACCAGCTCCCTCCGCAGGAATGTGTTAAAAAAGTCCCCCCTCCACTCCCCTGAAACGCCTTGCTTATATCTACACAGGGAGACAACCCTGCATAATTATAGTGTTCACGGAATAGTCAATTATATAACTTTGATGCAGTCTGATACAAATGAATTGGTCACTTGTGGCCGATAGATTACACGATGTAACACAATTTTTGTTCCTGGGTAGTAAGTGTTATTTCCTCATTGCTTATGCCGAAAAAGTATAGAAAATGGATATTATTCCCAACAAACTTTGCTTTTTTGACGAGGGCAGTGATATTTTGAAATGTACCTATTTTCAATGAGAAAACGGGCGAATTTGTGTCTTTTCGTTCACACAAAGTCAGAAAAAAACATATGAATCAAAATTAACATGTATTTATACTAAAGTAATACAAAAATGACTACAAAAGATTTAGAAGTGAGTAGTTTTTCGAGATTTATGATTATACTTTAAATCACTTTCACGAATCAGCCCCCAAATGTAGTCTCCCATCATGTTCTCGTTATATTGTCCTTGGTAGCGGCGTTTAAAGTCCAATATATCCTGGTGGAAGCGCTCGCCTTGCTCCTCCGAGTACGCTCCTATGTTCTCCTTGAATTGATCAAGATGAGCATCAAAGATATGGACTTTGAGGGACATCCTACAGCCCATTTTGCCGTAGTTTTTCACCAGTCTCAACCAGCTCCACATAGTTTTCGACCTTGTGATTGCCCAGGAAGCCACGAACCACTGCGACAAAGCTGTTCTAAGCCGCTTTCTCCTTACTAGGTGAGCTTCTTAGGGAATTCATTGCACTCCAGGATCATCTCTATCTGCGATCCGACGAAGACACCGGCTTTGACCTTTGCCTCAGACAGCTTAGGGAAGAAGTCTTGAAGGTACATGAAGGCTGCTGACTTCTTATCTACAGCTCTGACAAATTGTTTCATAAGGCCCAATTTGATGTGCAGTGGTGGCATCAGCACCTTCCGGAGGTCCACCAGTGGCTCCCACTTGACGTTCCTCCCCACAGAGAACTCGTTCCGCTGTGACCAGTTCCGCCTGTGGTAGTGTGCCTTGGTGTATCTGCTGTCCCAAAGGCAAAGATACCAGGCACACATGGTAAAACGGCCTTGGAGACCCATCAGGAATGCCACCATTTTGAAGTCTCCGATGACCTCACAGCCTATACTCATCATACTTCAAGGCGTCCAGAAAGGTCTTGATGTTGTTGTAATCCTCTATGAGGTGCACCAAGTGAGCCAGGGGAAGAGACGGGTACTTGTTACCATTATGGAGCAGCACAGATTTGAGGCTTCTGGATGAGCTGTCAATGAAGAGGTGCCACTCATTCTGGTTACAGGCGATTCTGATTGCCTTGAACAGACTGGTCACATTGTGGCAGAAGCAGAGCTCATCTTGACGGGTGAAGAAGCTGCAAAAAGGTTGGTGACGCTTCCTCTGATCTGCGACTTGCACACTTTCATCCAACAAGTTCCACTGCTTGAGCCGAGACGTCAAAAGCTCGGTATTGGACTTGGTGAGACCAATATCTCTTATCAAGTCGTTGAGGTCTTTTTGGTTGGGGTAGTATGGGTTTCTCTCCTCAGCTCCACCTCTGAAATTGTCATCTGAATCTACAACGTCTTCCTCGCTCTCTGACTTGCTGCTGTCTTCTAAAGACGGCTGCTCTCGCTCCGGAGGAGTGGGTATGGGGAGCTTATGGCAGTGTGGCACCGGGGCGATGGATGAAGGAAGGTCCGGATACGTGATAGCAGGTGCATTCTTGCCAGTCCGACGTTTGGAAGGGTCCACCATGCAGAAGTAGCAGTTGCTTGAGTGGTCATTGGATTACCGCCAAATTATTGGGATAGCGAACTTCATGGCTCTCTTTTCCCCTCTGTACCATCCTACAAAAATACATTAATTTTACCCATGACTAATGTGTAAGAGATTATCGCAACATTTTTCATATATGATATATTTTTCATTAACATTCAAAATTGTTAAACATTCAAAATTAAAAACTTTTACAATTAAAAAAATTGTAGCAAATTTTATATCATAAAATTCCAAGCAACAATTGTTCATTTTACCTTCCGGAGTTTTTTTGCATTGCTTGCAGGTGAAATGAGGTGCCCAGAGATTGTCTTGATCCTCGACAGGCATGCCGAAATATGCATTGTAGGCCTCACACATCTTACCAGATGCTGCCACAGAGTACTTTTTCTCTCTTGTCTTGATAAATTGGCTGCAGACATAACAAAATGCATCTGCCGGACGCTTGCAGCCTCTTGATGCCATCTCAGAAAAATGCAGATATGTATCCACTGAACTAGTTTGGCTTAAGGCCCCTGTATTTATACTACTATTTATATCACTGGAAAGTTCTAGAATGTTCTAGAGGTTACTCTAAGTTTACTCAGCACTGAATCTATCTGGTATGTTCTGGAAAAATAGGTAAATTTCAAAATATCAATGTCCTGGTCACAAAAGCAACGTTTGTGGGGAATAATAGCCATTTGCTGTACTTTTGAGGCATCTGCAAATTGGGAAATAACACTTACTACCCAGGAACAAAAAAAAATAGTTACACTGTTATTTTTGTTGCTTTTTTTCTGAATACTCTGATGTAAAAAAAATCCTGCAAATTAATTGCAGTGGCAACACATTCCAAAAGGACTGTGGTATCTGACACAGCCATTCCCAGAAGAGCAGGAATTGTTCAAGAGCATTCCGCACACTTCCTGTGGTCCACATTTCCATTTTTATCGCAGATGTGTGCGATGTATCACTGCCTAGTTTACATTTGAATGGTGACTATATTGGTGAAAATGGGAACATGGGTGGTGTTGAGCAGGAACTACAGTTTTAATAATAATGATGCCCTTTATTCAACGTAAGCCTCGCTGACTCTTGAGGGCGCTGAATGTTATGTTTGGCCAATTCTATATTTGGATGCTTGACATGTCGGTGGAAATTGGAGTACCTGTAGAAACCCCACACGTGAAGATAATACTGAAATTACATGCAGATACATTAAATAACAAATGACTGTACTGCAATCTCTTGGGCACTTCATATCCCAAGGCTACGACACCTGGCATTCCCAGGCAGCCTCCCATCCAAGTGTAGTGAGCGACTTACGAGACACGTCGAGTAGAAGGCTTCTTATTTATTAAGAGCACACTGGGCGAGACATTGTGTAACGCAGCTACACATAGGTGATCCTAACACGTAGCCCCATCTCTGGCTCCGCGACGCAAGCTGTTCGACCAGCGCAGCGACGGAGAGAGTCTTCCAGAAAACCAGCAGCGACGCAGCCAGGACCTAGGACCCGCAACAACCACAAACCTCTGGTTTGGTCCCCCTTACATCTGTCCCGGCACAGGCCAAGCTCCACCTCTGGCCACGCCCCCTTTCCAGAACCTTCGAGCTGGTTTCCGGAGCTTCTCGACTGACTCCGCCTTTTACATTTACTCCAGATACGCCCCCCTTAAAAGAGGTATTATGTAATGCAGCCATGGCCGTAATTACCACTCCCGGCAGACAGGTGTCACCCTGTCATTACACAAGTACTAACCAGGCTTAGGGGTGCCCGCGGTAGCGAGATGTTAACTTTCTCGCCTGATATGCAGGAGGATCATGGGTTCGATCCCGACCCTGATGCCTGTATGTTTTTAATTTGCATGTTTTCCCCGTGGTCGCGTGGATTTTCTCCCTCCACTTTTAGAAACATGCGTTTAGAGTTTTTGGCTGCTATAAATTTCCACATGATAAGCCACTTTCTTTGCGCTCTCATTTGTGGCCAGGGCGTTTCTGCAAAATACCTATATAGCTCCAGTGGGCCTTAACTGGTAAACTAAAAATAGTTTATAATTTAGTTTAAACCCGACTTAGTTTCTGAATGCTCAAGTGATCGGGCAGATTTTTGGTGAATTGGTCATGATTTCCTTCCCTGTTATAATCCTCTTACCCATGCACATTACTTTGACATGTGTAATAAATGGACTCGGACACTTCCTTCTGTCTTCGTGTCTTTTATTG